AGTATATTGCGGACTGTGTGGCCATGGTTTTGTAGTTCTTCTTTTATTTGTTCTGTGGGTATTGTATGGTGCAGGTTTCGCAGGACAATACGGTAAGCCCTTTCGTCTCTGATTTGATAGGTGTGATGCATAATCTTGTCTTCCCGGAGTTTCATAATTAGTTTCCTGTAGGTGTCTGCAGTATTAGTGTTGATTTTGATTGTTTCTTTGGGGAGTGCTTTGCAATAATACTGCTCTTCTTCAGCGACTTCGCTTATATATTTAATAATTTCTCTATAATTTGTCACCCCGTATATGTATATCGGGGGCGGTTTTTTTCCCTTGGTTGGTTGCTATTGATGGTGGATTTGTTCCTGTCATTTGTCTGCATATCCTCCTCGTCTTCAAGGTCAGATAGCTCTGCAAATTTATTTTGGGTGTTAAGTTGAAACTGGTCTTCTGTTGCCTCTTCTGGGGTCAAACGCATTCTTTTCCTTTTTATAGTTTGCCAGGTGTATTTTGTGGTGGTTGGCAGGTCGTCCACTGGATCGCTTGTTGTTGAGTTTTGTTTGTTCGAGTTTTTGTCACCATGTTGGTTAGTGCGCTGGGACGTGATGGATGATGGTTGCACGTTAGACGATTGTTGTGGGGGTATACTGCGATTGGTTTTCTGGTACTGGTACTGTTGGGGTTGTTGCATGGCCTGTTGGGGCATTGTTGGTTGCTGTAACATTACCTGTGGTTGTAATGGTGCTTGTGGATATGGAATCATTTGCTGTTGCTGCGTTAGCTGCTGCTGCATCATTAGCTGTTGCTGCATAATTTGTTGTTGTTGTATTGGGTGTTGTTGCTGATTGACGCTGAAGCACTGGTTTTGCGGAAGCTGAGTTGGTTGGAACATTTTTTTTACTTATTTTTTTATAGTACTGTGCACTTTGAAACGTCGGCAGCACTGCCTAGGTTCACATGATGTAAAGAACTGAGTTAACACCAACGGATAACCACTGTGATAGACGAAAATCAATAACAGGACTGTTAAATACGGCAGTTTGAACACTCTTAGACGGGTGTTGCAGGGATTGCTTATAACATACATGGTAGTAGATTTTCAAACATTCACCACTATGCAAAAAGTAGTTAAGTCGTAGCACTGTATGAGCTATGCCTTTCACTGTTTACACACGGTTCACTGAGCACTGCACAAGACACGTCTGCACTGCTCGGCGTCTGTAGGTAGAGTTGCGGTCTAAGGTAGGGCGAAAAGTTGTGCACGACGTCCCAAGAAGTGGGCAGCCAAAAACGCAAAGGACAGATGCAAATGTACGAACAAACGATGAAGCAACAGGGTTATTTGGAAGTGATGACAAGGTTACGGGTATCTGTTCGGAGGAGAGATCAGAACTCTGCCCTGACAAGTGGATTCTCCATCATGACAATGTCCTTGTGCATGATACTTTAAGATTTCACGAGTTCCTGGCTAACAAATCCATTACAAAGATGGACCATCCACTTTATTCGCCTGAATTAGGTCCCTGCGATTTTTGGCTCCTTCAAAAATTAAAAAATTCCCTAAAGGCACAAAGATTTGTTGACATTCCTGACATCCAACTCAACGTGACAAAGTTACTGCGAGGTATTCCGGAAAATGGTTTTCAAGTGTGTTTCCGGCAGTGGCACCGTCGTCTCACCTAAGTGCATAGCTTCAGAAGGAGCGCATTTCGTAGGCAACAGCAGCTGCTAGCGCACAGGAAAGCAAATTTTGCTCACACAGGACCGTTCCGGGAACTAAATTGTAGCACCTTATATATTTATAACCACGAAACAAAATTGTACAGGTAATAAGCAGAGGCCATACAAAGTAACAAATATGCAAATGTCCATAACCTTGGAAAAGGAAAAGCCTGACGCAGAAAATAAAAGAGGCTAAAACTTGGACCGTCACATGTATGACCTTTTAAGTGACTATGCAGCAGTTCTAACATGATTTACCTGAGTTAGGACACGATTTGTTGTAAAAAGCTCAGAATGACAGAAGCCTTGCATATAAAGTACACAGACAGAAACACCCTCTCGTGCTTCTGGGCGGAGTCAAGAACATGGACGAGTGCACTTTGTCGAAGGATGCGCAAAAAGAGGAAAAGCAGGGAAAGTAAGACAGTAGCTTACTACTGACCTACTCCAATATGTGTACGCTTGTCAAGTTCGCAAACAGCGTGACGAAATCTGTTCTGCAGGAACTGCATTTTCACTAGATGAATATCCTCCACACGCTCCCAAGTGGGACAAGCATAAGTCATTATTGATTTAATTAATGCTCTGCAGAAGATAAATTTAACATTTGAGCTTAAATGTTTGTTTTGGAATAGAGAGTATTTTCCTATGGACGTGCCTAAGGCATTGGTTGTGGTCCGTGAGTTCTGGGTCTGTGGGGGAATTATTTTTACAAACAAAAACAAACTCCGTGATTTTAGTCCGCAAACGAACTCTACCAACCGAGCGACCGCCGCTTGTCGGCGAAGTTAGTGCCAACTTTAGCGGATAGAGGGTGTCACGTGGTCAGCGCAACGGATCCCCACGGCCATTAATCTAGGTTTCCTAGACCGGAGCCTCTACTTTTCCATTCAAAGTAACTCCTCAATTATCATCACGAGGCTGAGTGGACCCAGTTCCAGACCCACTACTTCTCAGAAAAATATCTGGTAGCGCTGGGAATCGAACCCGAACTTCTGGATCTGTAGCAAGGAACTCTGACAACTAGATCACAGAGCAAAGACTAAAATACTGCAACAGGGACGGAACCCTGGGGCACCCCCGCCCCTCTTTCCCTTGGCGATGAAATTTCGCTTTCTAACGAGACTTTAAATTTCCTGATATATTGGGTTTCTGGACTTTATCCATCGTCCTAGTTTTTAAGATAACAAATAAAAACACGATGTTTCGGAAACTGGATCAATCACTGGATTGTGATTGAGGCTAGCTCTTTCTAACGGACCCAACAGAATAGGTGTTTCCCTTTTCCTTCACCTGAGGACGGAAACAGACCCAGTTTCCGAAACGTCGTGTTTTTATTTGTTATCTTAAAAACTAGGACGATGGATAAAGTCCAGAAACCCAATATATCAGTGTGTTATACACCATCGTCAGAATCCTATAGTAACTACTATTTACATTTTCTGTTCCTGATAACTGAAGCAGTCAGTTTGATCAAACTTTCCGAAAATTTTAATTCTCATGATTTACAGTGTGGTGTGTCAGGAACCCGGAATGGTTTATTCCTTAGGCAACGGCTGCGATAAGAAAATACGTACTTCCATGGAAACGCAATACCAGCGGACCCTTAAGCAACAAACGCGTTTCCCCGGAGATAAGGGACAACAAAAAGTTTCGTTGCAATGACAGTCGTCGAGAACAAAGGCTTCTACATGGTGCGCTCTATTCCGTCCGAAAGCAGGTTATGTAAGACAACTCGAGTTCAGATGGAGGCGGGGTCGAATACCTCCACCGTGACCCTGAGAGTCGTAGGAGGCGACGAAAAGGGACGTCCCAAATCTGAGACAGTAAAATATGGTCACAAGTTCCAAGGGACTCGGACCCGAAAAAGACTGCGCTGGAAACGGTCAGCAACATATACAAAAGACAGACCCGTCCTCTCGTCAGAGAGGGCGCAACACAGAAACAAGACCGTAACTGTCAAATGATAACAATTAATATCTAAAGGCTTACTGACTGACTGACCGTCAGTCGCAATGTGACTTTGACTTTCACTAACTCGAGCTCAGTTAGGGGCCGCGTCATAGTTCAAGCGGTTAGTCGCTGGATTCCCACCGCTGCGGCCAGGGTTCGATCTCGGGTCTGGTCAAGTGGGATTTGTGGTGGACAAAGTGACGCTGGGGCAGGTTTTCTCCGAGTATTTCGGTTTCCCCTGCCAATCTTCATTCCACCAATTGCTCCACAATCACCCTCACCTATCATCTGGGGCTGGTACAATAGGCCAGAAGTGGCCGCAGTACAAGGGACTTAGTCCCACCCCACTAAAAGTAAGTAAAGCTATCCCTGTAACAGGCCATGAAGGCCCATAGGGTTGTGAAACGTTGAGGTTCCCACATTATCTAGACAATGGACTCAAAGTTGGAGGTAAGGTTGTCAGCCTTACGCGCCGGCCTCGCTTTAATCCCCAGGAAAATTATTTATTTAATTTCTGGTACTCATTTCTGTTAGAGGCTGAGTTAACCCCAGGGCCATAGTGCGGCCGGAAGGATTAGGTGAATTGAAAAAAAATCCAATGACCTCATCGGTATTTAAACCCGCGACCTTCCACTAGCAATAATAAAAAGAACTTGTAATTTTGTTGGCTTTATCGATAGGGTAAAATATGGAGCTTAAAGACCTCAGTCCACCCATGTTTGTAAGGAATTTGCAATAGGCCATACTACTTGAGGTGTGACCTCATAGTTTTCTACCTTGGGTTCCCAGTGTTCAAGCGCCATTCTCCTGGCCCTCTCCTGAAATTTTGATGACCCAAATTTTTCTCCGTTCTTCTACTGTTTGCAAGCTGAGCGGTTCCCCTCACCCCCTCATTTCTTTCGCAGTTCGGAGTCTACCAAACGCAGGACGTAGTAAAGAGACCAGAAGCACCAGAGTCTTGTACACCGGAAGAGGTAAGAGATGGACTCAGAAACACTAGTGTACTCTATCGGGCGGAGTCACAATCATGGACGAGTCCACTTGGGCATAAGTATTTTATTGTGTTTTCAAATATCATTTTCTACATAGAAGCTGAGGGAGCGGGGATAGCGTAGTCGGTATCCATCCACTCCTCCATAAGCCTTCATGGCGTAGAGCGTAACCAGTTAGACGCATGGACAATTTTACCTTTTATATAGAGGCTGAGAAGACACCCCACTACACTCCTTCTCCTCTTTCGCGCTACTACATGCCATGGATCGCCGCGGGCAGTTTTATTAACTATATAAAGAGAAGATTAAACAACCGTAAACTTATGTCGCTCCATACACAAGACAGAAAATAAAGGATCGCAGCAGAAGATATAGTTCTAAATTCACCAGGAGCTGTTGAAGCAGAGAGGACGGCAGGCACCATTTCCTACTGGTAACTATTCCTAACTTATGATGTTACCTGGTATCACCGCATCGGGTTGCTAAAGTGTTAGCCATTTCTGCTTCGAGAAAATTCTGGGCGAAGAGTTCAAGTTACGAAGCTCCTCATTATGCAGTTTTTTCCAACCTCTGGTCACTTTACGAGTATACCCCTTTTAGTCCAAATATTTTTCTCAATACCCTGTTCTCAAACACCCTCAATCTATATTCCGCACCCTCCCTAAATTATCGTTAACGCTGCCTTTCCATATCTTGTCTGTCGTAACATTTTCTGCAGTCTTGTAGCAGAAATGGATAATATACATTAAGAGAAACTGGACACTGTTGCAATATAGAATTCAGATACTTGTGCGTTTTATGTTGCGAAAAAGAAGCAATGTGTTGATCTTAACTAATCTAGGTGCTGGGTCTGATGGGATTGTATTCTTTAGAAACTCCTGTCATTCTCTTATTCGTCTCCATCACTGCCGACGTTAAAATGTGTAGACATTCATCATGCTTCTGCTGGGACACGCATATTCACTGAGTGCCGTTTGCACATAAAGCTGATATCACGGTTTTGTTCTCCTTATTGTTATTATTATTTAATTATCTAAATAGCATTAATGAATTCCTAATTTTTTTACCTTTATTTCTTTGGCATTGTGGTCTTGTTGTCTTGTATTCGCGCTGCCTCTGTAATTGACCCGGGGATGTTGAGTTCAGCACTTAAATCAATTAATTATTTTTATTTTTCTTATTATTATTACCGTCATTTTCATTATTTTGCATAAGCCGTCGAAGTGCGTCGTCGTGCATCCTTCTGCATCTGTTTAGCGTGTGACAGGCTTTCAGCTAACTAGACTAGGGCAAGTACAAATTTGTGTGAAACTTTCTTAAGGGAGACACAACTACATTCGCTGTTGTGGGTTCAGATATCATTTCCATTGTAGCGGTTTGCAGATAAATGGACAAGACCGTAACGTGTACACGCTAAAGTGTGATTACCGTATGAAGACAGTAGAAAAGTCATTATCCTAAATAAGTCTTCTCCAAAATAGCTGTTACCTGCAGTGAGGAAAACTGTTCTGAAATATGCTCCTGACACTGATTTGGTCTACATGCAAATGAATCATTACATTCAAATGGCATATGCACAACGGAAAGAGAAAACATCGGTGGATTAGCTACATGGAACAGCCGAAGGACAACACCGCCCTGAAGCTTCAAATAAAGGAGCTGTAAATTTGTTTTTATCGAGGTTCTTGTCTTAATTGTGGAAACATTCGACCTTCTCAGGGGTCTTTGCCTGCGGAGTCAAAATTCTGGACAACTGTTCTAGAGATATGAAATATGGTAGCGCAAGAGGGGGGGGGACAGTACGTCTTAGCATGCAATCGGTAGGAAAATATACTGAAAATACAGAAAATTTGAGAAGGAACCAAACCACGGTGACAATAGACACACTCAACACGAATCCTTACTTAATGTGCAATAATTCTCCATACAGATGCTATAGTAGGGTGACCAGGTTTTAAAACCTGAAAAACAGGACTCTGTGGTCTGGTGGTTAAAGTTCCTGGCTACAGATCCTGAGGTCCCTGGTAAGATTCCCGGCGCTACAAGATTTCCTAAGAACAAGTGGGTCTGCAACGGGATCCACTCAGCCTCGAGAGGATAATTGAGGAATTATTTCAAGGAAATAACGGCTCCGGTCTAGAAAACCGAGATTAACGGCCGTGGGGATACGTTGCGCTGACCACGTGACACTCTCTACCCGCTATAGCTGGAACTAACTTCGTCGACAAGCGGAGGTCTGTCGGTATATTTTCTTGTGGACTACAGGCCACGAAGTTTGATTCTTTGTTTGTTTGGAAAACGGGACACCTTATTAATGACGCCTAATTTACAACAGACGATTTCACCGATATTATTTTAACTAATTTTACAATGTAATTACTTTTTTGTTTATACTTAGACAATTGTGTTTGAACTTAATTTTCAGTTGATGTTGAAGGAGTTGTTCTTTCCTCTTGGCCAAATTGACAGATGTTTTGTATTGCGTAGATGAACGAGTTTCTAAAAGTAATTTGGGAGTATCTTAAAGCAAAATATAGAAGTCGATGCAAGAAAGTTCCTAACAATCTGTTTATGTTACTATCACTATTTTGATGGTTTCAACAAGGAAATTGTCATTTTCTTCCAGTTTACAGAGCACTGACGATAGATAACAATTTCTCTATAGCTGTACTAGTACCAGAATTGGTAAAAGAGAATTCCAAAATGAGTTGTATGTTTCTTTTAATGAAACACTTTCACTTCACACAATCTCAAATATTTCATACCATCTTCCAAAAGTTGTAAGTGACTTTGCATTCCATTCATCCTTTCTTGTTTTACTTATATTTGCAATATGGATAAATTAATAAAATTTCATCTTCACTTCAGTCGTCTTATATTTTTGTCAACATCAGCAACAAGCTTTGTACTACGTAGAATTCCATCTCAAGTATCGGTTTCTTAAGTAATGCCCAACGAAACATATCCAGTAGGGGTACATTTTTAATCCATTTCTCTAAATACAGCAGAAAAGTGTCGTAAAATGAGTTGGCTACACAGGTAAATTGTTCAATGTTGTAAAAATTTTCAAGATCTGATAATAGGGATATGTTTTATTTTGGGAACGACTATAACAAATCAAAACCTGATTCAGGAATAAATTAAGAGGAAACTGAACTCGGGTAATGCTTGCTACCATTCAGTCCAGAATCTTGTGTCTTCTCGTCTGCTGTCCAAAAACATAAAAATTAGAATATACAAAACTATCATTTTGCCTGTGGTTCTATATGGGCGTGAAATTTGGTTTCTGATATTAAGGGAGGAACATAGAGTGAGGGGGTTTGAAAATAGGGTGTTGAGGAGAATATTGGGACAGAAGAGAGATGACGTGACAGGATGTTGGAGAAAACTGCACAACGAGGAGTTTCATAACTTGTACTCTTCTCCAAGTATAATTAGAATGATCGAATCAAGGAGGATGAGAAGGGCAGGGCATGTAGCACGAATGCGAGGCGAAGAGGAATGCATAAAATATTATCACGTGTTGGGTACGTCACGCGACAAATAACTTCACGCCGTCTTGGATATAGCGAATTTATTGAACACTCGCTCTCACAATTACACAATTCACAATTACACAATTACTGCCATCTGCAGTATCACAATTACTTCTCCTGCTGTAGTCACTTCCCTTCACTCGATGCAACTCGTAGCTGCTGGACTTCAACTCACTCCGGCGAATGCTAGATAGCAACTTAATTGTTACTCTCTCTCTCACTGACGTATACCCCTGTTATGTAGCTTCCGCACTGACAACACAGAAAACAGTTTTCTGATAGCTTTCACTGTTGCGTGAAGTCGCGTTTACCGATTGCAACAGTCGCTGCACGGGCTCCCCTGTTGCTTGACGCCGTGTTTACAAAGTCGTTGCTGGGCAACGCTGCGTAACAGCCAGCGCGTTTCGGCTCGGCTCGGCACGGACAAACACCGCTTTCCTTACTGTTGGGTAACCTCGTTTCCACTTTTGCGTAACTTGGCAACCGACCGTTTATCAAGGATCTGTCTTCATGGTAGCTCGTTCCACCTCCCATTGCCCAGCAACGGTTAGACATGTCACAATATATTGGTGGGAAAACCAGAAGGATAGAGATCACTGGGAAGACCAAGACGTAGGCGCGTGGATAATATTAAAACGGATATTAGAGATAAAGTATAGGATTGTATAGATTTAATTGATCTGGCTGAGATTAGGAATCAGTGGAGGGTTGTTTTGAGCACGATAATGAACCTTCGGGTTCAATAAAATGCTGGGAAATTCTTTAGTAGCTGCACAATTGGCAAATTCTCAAGGAGGTATCAGCTCCATGAGTGAGTTTAGTATGTGGTTTGAATATCCTGAATTGCTGCTATTATTTCTAATTGCTTGTATGTTCCTTGTATCTGGTGTTGTCAGACATAAGGGCATGGCCGATCATAGCCTGAATGAAACATCTGTTAGCTTCTAATACATCAAAGGAAAGCACAGAAAACTCCTTAATCATGCGTTGTACAACATATGATGACCAGTTAGGCCGAAACATGTTGTCAAATAGAGCAGAAAGAAGAAACAGCGAAACCTAGCGGATTAAGATTGAGTTTCACAAGGACGGATAGAAATCAGAACAGTATTCAATTTTATGAAAAGCAATGCCGAAAATGCTTCTCTTTGTTCAGACAGTTCTGAATAGGAAATGCATTCGACACGTAAAAATTCGCTTAGTGGGGGGTGGAGTCCAACTGGGTCCAGTCGGCACGGCGGCCACTGATTGACCTATTGTAGCCTGCCCCGGGTGATTATGATGATGGAGAATTTGGTGAAATGAAGATTGGCAGGGGAAACGGAAGTACTCGGAGAAAACCCGCCCCAGCGCCACTTTGCACACCACAAATGCCACCTGACCAGACACGGGATCGAACTCGGGCCGCCGTGGTGGGAAGCCAGCGACTAACCGCTTGAGCTATGGCGCGGCCTTCAGACCCGTCGCTTATGAATATCAGTTGTCATTGAAGGATACTTGCATAATGCCTGTTTCTTCCAAGTAGAGTACTAAAAATTATAACTTTTCATTCATTGCTTCCTTGACAAACATTAGTTTCTTAAGAATCGCCTGCAATATTTTGTTTAAGCTATACGCATTACACATGTGTCTTTGAAGTTGCTGCAATAGGCAGGCGAAGTACATGCTCTTTGAAAGCTTGGAAACATTCTCTATTACTCGACGGCGATCGCCTGTCATATGCAGTTGTGAAACCTTCGACTCCATCAGAGGCGTATTAGATGTTCCGCTTTATTAAATGCATAAAATACGAGTAAAAGAGAAATCCAATACACCCGAAACTAGCGAAAGAATGCCAATGAAAATTGGAAATGCGCGCCTACCTTAGATGCTGCATATAATTATCCAATTAAGAGAA